TAAAAAGGAAAAGCAAAAATCATCAGGCATCAACACCATCAGTTGCACAAATTGCTCTCTCCTTGAAGGGTTTCTGCAGTGGATTTTTCTGACAGTTTTATGTYTCTCATAACTCGGGTTGGCAGTGCTGTGGCAGCTGTGGGGTGCTGCTCTCCCCACCCCCCACGAAAAATATCCTTTTCCAAAGCAGATGCAGTTACTGATGGGTCAAAATTTATCTTCTCAGCATGGCCTGAATGAAAGTGCTGTGGGTTGGGCAAAGGCTGAGCATCAACCTTCTCCTCCTCCTCCCCATCCTCTTCTGCAAGTGGCTTTGCTGGGAAAGAACAAAAGAGATTCTCATGGTCACATCCCTGCAAAGTTTGAGGGATGGCTGGAAATGTTGACACAATTTCCTATTTTCTTCCTCCTCCACACTGTGTTCACTAGTAACACTTTGAGAAACAGAAATGTTGGAAGGAAAACCAAATCCTCTTTGAAATTTCAGTGCTTCTCATTAGTGTAGTGACAATTTCTAGGGATGGCTTCTGGAAATAGTGGACAGCATTTCTTGCACGCTTTCCCACTATTTTTGATTTTAAATTGCCCTTTAATATCCTCCTTCCATCCACATACCTGCGTTTCATAAGGGTATGTCTATTTATCAGGGAAATGAAATGGAATTTTTTGTGAACATCCAGTACTTTGAGGGTTTCTCTGACCAAAGATCTGTATTTTCTATGCAAAAGTAATTCAGTTGAATAACAGCATCCTCTAGGAGCTCAGCTCAAGTTTTTCTCAGATAAAGGCTGAGAAATCACTCAGGTAGAGCTCAGTTTTGAGCTAAAAGTCAGTGAACAATGCAGGATTTCTTTCAGTGCTCTGCTCTGCTGCTTAATTCCTTCTGCACCTCACTCAGYTCTGCTCCTCAGATTTTATGAAGGTGTAAAAATACCACATGAGTTGCAAATATGGCACAAGCAATTCCCTCAGCATGCTCTTTGAGGGAGGTACAGAATAGAAATTGCTTTACTGGCCACCATAAAATTTTTAAGAAGGAGGAATTATGCAGTAGCCACACTAACACTAAAGTGCTTCAAGGTTAAAATTGCTCTGATCTGTTCTTTTCTGAAATAATTGCCTGGCTACAAATACTTCCAGAGCAGTGACTGTGTTCAGCAGAGCTTAACTTGTGCTCAGACAAGAAGAAAAAGGCTGGGAATTGTTTCTTGTTGGTGTAGAGCTTCATAATTTGTCTATCAGGAGAAAATGTTTAAGGTAGATCTGGATCACATGGTGTAGAAAAGGCAACACTTGTTTTAAAAAGTACAAAATACTACCAAGGCTTCAAGGAAACCATGACAACAATGCCACTGTTTCTGTGAATATGGAATACATTCCTAAGAAGCAGATTAATTTGATTTTTTTTTATTTTAATTAGAGTTTTTTAATTAAACTTAATTTAAGATTTTGCTTAAATGAGAGTGAGAGGATCTTTCGGGATGATGTGTTTGCTTTAAACGTTACCTCAGTGCTGTCAAACTCCATACTGAAATGTGATAGTCTCAAAAAAAAAAA